AAGGAAGGACATGTGACAGCAAGAACAGATAGTGATAAAAAGGAGCGATTGGTAAGGATGCCGGAGAGGCCCTGGGAGGAGACAGAGCCGGGGTCTTGGTGCAGATGCCACCAGACGTCTTGCTGTGACCTCGGATCAGTCGCTCGCCTCCCCTGGACCTCGGCTTCCCATCTCAGGGAAGCAGCCAACATCATGACCGCATGGGCCAGGCCAAGAGCTCAGAGCCCAGCCCAACCCCGTGCTGGCTCCTTCATGGTTCGGCAGGTTCAGCTGAAGAGCCAGAAACCCACGGAGCTGCTCCTTCGGGTTTCCATGCACGGGTACCAGTCCCTGTCTCCGTTTACTGCGCTCTCCCTGCGCTGGGGTTTCTCTGGATCAGGGGCCAGGGGAGAGTGGCTCCTCTTTGAAGAACCCTCTGGTCAAGTCATCAAAGCATCATCAGACAGATTAACAGGAGAAAAAGACCAATTTCGTCACGTACCTGCTGGGTCTCTGCACAGGTGTCAACGCTGCCGGGCAGCGTAACGGGGGTCTGTCTCCCGACCTCAGAAACGGGAGGGGGGCCTGAGCCTTCCAGCAGGGGGAGGGGGCTCCCGCAGCGAGGAGCAGATGCTCCGTGTTCAGGTGTTTGTACGTAGGTCAGGTATTCCGGATAGAAAGCTTATTTCTGATAACAACCCTAATTCTAGGTAAGACCCCGCTTGTCATTCTTTGGGGCAGTTAAGGGGGCAGCAAGAGTAGTTTGTGAGCCTGCAGGGCGTCGACTGACTTCAGCTTGAAGGAAGGGGCATGTCTCGGGGTTGGGGAGGGGAACCTCCCTATCCTGAATGTCAGGGGCCGGTTCTGAACACCCACCTTCACGGTCCCGTGCAGGGAGTCCCTGCTCTCAGCGTGACGCCGGTGGCCTGGGTGGACAGTCCCGCCTGTGTTCCAGTGTCTGGCCTTCTGCAGACAGCCGAGCCCTGACCTTAGCCCGCCCTCCCCACCTCTTTGTTCAGGAGGGTGTGGTTGGCCTCCCGCCCTCACTGAGGGCTTGGCACCGGCCGCTGGCCCGTGGCGGCTTGGCCAGGGCTTCGTCTCAGGAGCCAGAGCTGGCATCCCTGGTGTTGCAGACTGCCTCGCTCACAGTAAGGGACATCACGCATTCCGAGTTTCCTCCCTGGGGCTGGGGCAGGGGTGGAGCGCTGTTCTTGCTTTGGCTCTGCAATTTTTTTCCAGGGCTTTGGAAAGCACTAATTGATAGCAGTCCCACAAGCCTCTACTGGTAGGTGGGATCCTGGTAGGCTCCAGGGTACCGCCCCACGCCCATGCTTCTGCAGCTCAGCTTTGCCCTCTGACCCTACTCTCAGCCACCAAGCATCAGCAGAGAACATCGTTCCACAGAGCCAGGAAACCTAGCCTCAACCCGTGACCATAAATATGATCAATCCATAAGGATCAGTAGGCATCTATGTCAGTGACCTGTCTCTGCCCTTGGCATCGGAATACAGACTCAGCAATGCGTAGTGGGCCCTGCTTGCTGGAAAGACACCCCTCTGTGGGGAGACCCCGGGGCCCCTCTGCTCAGACCCTCCAGCTGGTCTGCATGTCACACAGAAAGCTTAGTCTTAACAATGGCATCCAGAGCCCTGTCCTCCCTCCACACCAGGCTTGTCCTCTCTGACCCATCACCTGCCCACTCCTCCGGCCGATCCACCGGATCCAGCCTCTTCTTTCCCCAAAGTAGAGGGGCCTTGAGAGATGCCTAGGGACTCCCACCATAGAATCTTCCATGCTGGTGCTGCCCCACCTCAGGCCTGCACAGCACAGGAGCCCAGGACGTAGGCAGTGAACAGATGGGACAAACTGGCAGCATCACTAGGTTGGCAGTCCCGAGAGGTGAGCCACACTGTGCTGATTTCCCCCACTTTCCAGTTGAAGGAATGGTTCAGAGAGGGTAGGTAATTTGTCCATGGTCACACAGCAAATGGAGCACACAGCCAGTGAGCATCAGAACCACCAACTCAGCCTGCACTTTCGTGCCCAGTTCTCTCCTCTGCGTCGTGAGCCCTTACCTTTGCCTTCAGTGTTCTGTGTCTTCCACAAGGTGCCTCGAGATTGGGCATGACCAGTGAGGCAGTGCTTTCAGCCTGCGGAGGCTCTCAGCCCAGGGAGGAGAGGGCGAGTGACAGGTTCAGGCAGCGTGGCACCAGCACAGTGGGGTCCAGGGAAGGCCCTGACTCGGGCTTTGCTCCAGAAGCCCACCCCAGCTGAACCCCATGGAGGGATAAGGCCTCCCAGCCTCACGGGGTGGAGTGGGTTTCCGGACTCTGGGGCAGCCAGGCGGGTGTGCAGAGGTAGGAACAACTGAGCCCTGTGGGTCAGCCATGTTGCCTCAAGTTACAAGTAACAGGTTTACACAATAAAGGGGATTTATTCTCTCATGCCACTGAAAAGTCAAGTTGTGGGGTGGGCTGCAGGCATGGCTAGATCAGGGGTTTGACACACTCGCCAGGCCCTGCTTACCTTCCACCTCTTCCACATGAAAAAGCAGAGTGGCCACCATGACCCCGACTCTCACATCTAAATGAACAGCCTGCCGGAACAACGGGGCGTTTCTTCTCTCCCCTCCGAAATCTGGGGTTTCATTCTGATGAGCGTCTTAGAACTCATTCCCACCCCTGGACAAACTACTGTGGTAAGAGTGATGGCACCCGCCTCCTTCCCCTGCCACGTTCAATGCCAGCTTGCCCTCGAGGATTGGCAGGTTCATCTAGCCCCAGGAGAGCTTTCCTGATGGGGTCAAAGGAGGCAGCTGGAAGGGTGAGCTGGAAACTTCCAGGCTCTAAGCTCAAACCCCCTGTACTCCAAAAACACGCTGAGCAGCGCTTCCCAGGGAGGTGCTGGCATTGAATCTGGTTTTGGGGTTGCATCTCTTTCCTACCCGAAAGTCAGTGAGCTCCCTTCAGCTCTCACTTTCCTGGGAAAAAGAAATCCTGGCCGCTGGTGGGAGGTGGGGATAGGGCTGAGGAAGGTATCCCAGCAGGGGTGGAGGTCTTCGGCAGAGGGCCCGGGAGTCAGGACTCCAAGGGAGGCGTGCGGCGGGCATCGGGCCCCTTCTCTGCGCCCTTCCGACTGTGAGCAGTTGAAGCCAGCTGGCAGGCGGGAGGCCTCCCAGAACAGAGCCCAGCTCCTGGCCCTCACCCCTCTAGGTACCTGGGGTCTGTGGGCTGTGCACTTAGATTCGATCCGTGGCCTTCTAAGTCACCAAGTCTCAGTTTCTTCCAAGAGTAAAATGGGAAGCTGCGGCCATTGGAGTAGAATTTGAGGGCTATCTGAGAAACAGCCATAACCAGCTGCACCGCCATGCCGGGCTCTTAACGGATATTCGTTCCCGTGGAAAACGGAAAATAAGTTCTAGCATTTGCCCAGTAATGCCGGAAGCTCAGCTCATAGCTGTCATCTTCATAACCCGTCTGTAAGTGTCCTGTCGCCATCCCGTGGTGGAGAAGGGGAAACTGAGGACCTAGGAGGCGGCTTAACTTTCCCAAAGCCACAGACCTGGTATGTGGGTGCAGAAGCCCACTTTATGGGGCTGAGTCTAACTGGCAGAACCTGAATGTCAGGCTAGGGGTGGCCTCTGCCACTCCCACACACCCAATTTTTTTCTTTTTTTAATTTTTTTTTATTTTACAAAAGTTTATTTTTACATCACTTTGTACATTTTTTTTCCATCTCAATTGTAATCGCCGTGGGTTTCCCATCACCAAGTCACCCGTGTGCCATCACCATAATCCCGTGCATTTCCCTCCCCTCCCCCCCACCACGTTCTTGATCCCATTCCCCACTCCACCGCCGCAAAATGTCTCTGG